CCACATTCTAAACAGCTCAGTAGCACCATCTTCTGGACATACTGAGACCATATAGTTAAAGAAAATGAAACAACCTTTTCCTTTAACTCCAGATCGATCCTCTCCAGCTTCTCTCTCAGCTGTTTGTTCAGAGCAGCTTGTTGCCTTCTGACCAGAGGCTGTCAAAAGAGGAAACATTGAAACAATGACAGTGGGAATGGGAAATGAAGATATCTAATATTATGAAAATAAACTCAAAACTTAAAACAGTTATGAATGGAGGCAACTTCTGATCTGATCACATAAATATTAAGGAGAAACTACACACATGTTCAGGATCAAGAACAAGAAATTCCTCCTCTTCCTCATCCTCCAGCAGTGGCTCCTCATCCTCCATGTCTTCTGTGTTGAGGTTTGAGAAGTTAAAAGTCACCGGCATCTGAGCAGCGTTGTCTTCACCTTAACGACAGAAAATAAAAGTCATTCTTAATACGAAACAACAAATTATGATGTAAAAAATGATCCACACTGCTGTGTGATACTGAACTTGTGAGTATGCCAAGATAAACTGTTTTTTCAATGCAAATATTAGGAGGACGAATAAAGTTTATTTAAAAGAAATGATTGTAAGTTTATGGACATAATCTTGTGAACAAGTTTTCCCATAATAATTCTGAATTAATTAATGGTAGTAATGGACATTTGAACTATGCAATCCTCGGCAAACCAACCTAAATGAGCTGTTTTACTTACGTAAATTGTGAATATGTCTGTGTTACTTGTTTTTAAATGTGAATGCACTGAACAGTGCTATGTTGTGTCACACTCTGCAGCTTTGTACTGAATTGTAAATCCCAGCAGCTTTAGTGGGTGACCAACCAGAATCAGTCGCTGCCCTGTCCTCTGATGCCACTCCTCCCTGTGGCTCCAGGTCTTTGTCATCTTGGCTGTACCTTCCTTCCATAGCGCTCTGCATTGGACCTGTGATGATGAACAAGTGCTCTTACATACAGGCTTGCAGTGTATGAACCAGCACGGGTCTGGTGTGAGTCTTTGGCCATATGTGCTCACTCTCCCTCTGACCTGCGCTCACTTTACACTTTAACAATGAATACCATCACTCATCACAAGTTATTTAGACACGTACAGCACTTGAATTTTACTTTTTATGAGACACATATTTAAATACATTTTGCGCGCAGTGCACCTGGCACACACACATTACGAGACGTGAAGCGATCGTTTTTGTAAATGTGAAGAAAGTCTGAGACGAGCAGACACACTCCTGCAGACTGGAGAGAAATTCTTTCCGCAGATTATGACACAACACGGTGTTTAAACTTCATTGTTGCAGAAGAAGCGACGCCATCAACATAAATATGATTTCAGCAGGTTTTTTATAAAGATCAGTTCTCCGTGTGAGTGATTAGAAAAGAGCTGAGAAGCAGACACTTGTTGACCGGTGTCGTGCCATATTTGAAAAATAAACTGTAACTAACAATATTTATGGATGGGTGGGATAAAGAAAATCTTTGCTCTGGGCCCAAGTTAAGAGTTTGAAATAAGCATTCTTTTAAATACCTTTTTCCTCTTGCCAAAAAGTGAATGTATAGCTCCTTCTAAGTATCTTTCTGCTTCTTCGTTTGGTTTATTGGCAGGTGTCAACCGACGTCTATCTTCCTATCTTGTCAAGGCGTTCATTTTCATTCCATGTTACTTTGAAGATACTGGTGTGTCTTTGATGACTGATTATGACGCAGATACACATGGGGGGGGGGGGGTAACTGTAATCTGAGTTCTTCAAAGGAAAAGATTTGACTTATTTTTTACTTATATTAATGGTTTGATAAGCATTTGTCTAAACATAAAATCAGGAGAAGGACCGGAAATGGTTGCAGGGCCAAATCAAACCAGTTCAGTTTGAACTGAAAAAAAAAGGGTGCCATTTAGCGTCACTTGACAATTAACATGGTACTCTACACACTAACTTATGGCAGGGTATCAAACACACTGACATTATTATTAACTTTACTGCAGTGCTTGTATTGATGCTGAACTTCTTGTAATAAACCTTTTATTCAAGCAAGACGGTGTCAGTGGAGATTCCTTCATCATCTTCACATCATCGCCACTCAATATAAAACACCGTCCAAACGGACCCTCTCTCTTTGTTTGGATTCTCAAACTGTGGGTCTTCATCTGCCCATGGATGAAGCTAACACACGCACACAAAATGAAAGCTTTCTACAACCTGTTTAGCTGGACCTCCTACGCATTTAAAAAAGGCCCATCTCTATGCTACTACATTGGCAAGTGCAAATTTCGGACGGAGCACTGTTAAGAGTACACTTTAAGGGTTGTCCTCCTTTTGTTTCAGATTTGTATGTTTCCAAAATGACACTACTGTCAATCAATTCATAAGTAACCATTCTCAGAGTACAGTTGAAGGTATTATATAGTTTCGAGATTTTTTTTTTTCATCATGAATATTTAGAATGCATTTTCTTTTTTTTAAGTTGAACACATGCAATGTTTTAAGTGTATCCTGCTTCTATTAATTGTGGAGGGAAAAAAGAAACCATACCTACATAGCTGGAGAACAGGAGCCACCGGGTGTAGCCGTCTTCAACACATTTCCTGGCTGTGGAGGGTTTTGTTCTTTGGGAAGCTGATGATGTAAAGTTAAATTTGAAGTTTGGCTTCATGTCAAACAAAACAATCACTTGATAATTATAAAACATATATTTGTTTCTGCAAATCAAGTATTTATGACTAGTTGACTCAGTAAAATCAGATTGAACAGACTCTCGGTTCAGGTCATATCTGTGTGTCCACTTTGGCAAAAGTGCCATATAATAACACAATACCAAGTTCATGACACACAGTGTATTGTATAAATGTTCCACAGTGTGGGGAATAAAAAGCCTACCTCTTTAACTGGAGAACAGGAGCCAGTAGGTGCATCTATCCTCCAAAAATGTCTTGGTTGGGGAGGAGTCTGTATTTTGGAAACCTGATGACATGAAATTAAATTTGGTTTATCAATTACTTTTTGACAAACATAGCAGTCACTTGATAATTATAAAACATAAATAATTGKATCTGGAAATCAAGTATTTATGACTACTTAACTAAAACAAATCCATACCTTTGTAGGTGGAGAATTCACTGGGGTGTGCAAATTGCCTTTTACCAGAAATGTCGGGCTGACAAGAAATGTCGGGCTGGTGGCTTTGCCTAATGCAATGCATTGCCGACTGGGGCACGTGCACCCATAATTAACAGATGATTCACTGAGCTTCAAACTGTCTATACATGTTTCTGCTCTGTTCATGGGAACTGGCCGTCAGGCTCTGCGAGACAAAACATGGTTTTGTGTCTTAACTTTGTCTTTTCTACTCTCCTGCATAAGATGACGGAATATGAATTTGGTTGGAAAACCCATTTCTTTAACTACATCTTACAAGGTGCAGAAGTACCTGGGGAGTGGCTCCTTTGGCACAGTCACTGAATGCAAGAAGGAAACCACCAACAAAACAGTTGATCTGAAAATCATCCGAACCAAGGAGCAAATTCAGGCGGTGATGATCGAGGTGCAGTACAACTTCTGTCCATGTTTGACTTGTGTAACAACTCAACAGAACATTTTATTCACATAAAACCTCTAACATCTCCTATGATTTATTCAGGAGGCCTACCTGAGAATACTGAAAGAGCTCAAAACAGACCAGTTCAACATCGTGAGATGGAACGTCTCTTTCGCCTATGAGGGACGTTACTGTCGCGAGTTTGAGAAGCTGAATGTTGAGCTTTTTTATTTCATCAATATGAGCCCCAGTCCATCTCTTAATTTGAAGCAGATCCCCCAATTCGCAGCAGATTTGTGTTCTTTTCTCTTTGTTTTTGCACTGTCATCAATGGATTACTCTTTCTTGAAGACATGAGCTTTGCAGTAGAGTTGAATTAACCTGTTATTCATAATTTCAGCTGGCCACAGCCTTGGACATTCTCCAGAGCACAGTGATCATTCACAGAGATGTAAAGCCACAAAACATCAGGATGGTGGAACATCTCATAGAGCCACTGACAGTGAAAGTCATCAATTTTGGATTAGCCTTGAACAATCCAGCAAAATGTATTGGTAAGACCATCCAGACCCTGTTGTTCAGGTAATCATCCGACACCACATCTGTATATCTCTAACAGCTGTTGTCTGCTGTATTAAATCAAACAAGCCCTTTAAACTGGCAGGTCAGGTTTATATTTGTTTATGTCTCAAAAACTTGCAATAAAATGTTGATGGTAATAAGTTTAGCTCTTGTCTTTATAACCTCAGTAATATGTTTGTGTTTCTCATCTTCTTCTAAGGTCTCCGGAGGTCCTGCTGGGAGCTCCGTTCAACTAGTCAGTAGATGTGTGATCTCTCTGCTGATTTGCTGCAGAACTGTTTCTGGGCACACCACGTTTCTACCAGGGAATGAGTACGATATGGTCAGTACATGTATTCTACTTAAAACACACCGAACGTCAATTTCTGTTTGTTTTTCACAATTGACAGATATTCCAGTAAAAGGTCACAGTTTACAAGTATTTTCCAAAGATCTTTTCATGTGACAAACAGTGACTCTCTTTTCTAACTAGAGACATAATTAAACCTGTAAAAACCCCAAATTAGGCAGATTACACATTTTAAATTAAAGAATGGGCCTACTACAGAACAGTTTAATTATTATATTGTTTTTTTTACCAATTTTTATTTTAACTATAAGAGATCCGTAAAGCAAATACAGCAGTAAGTCTATGGGTTTCAAATTAAAATATTAGCTAGGCCTTCGGAATTCAATATAGTATAGTTTAGTTTACAAATGCTGTTTTTAGTTAAATACATAAATGAGCACACAGTATATTTAACAAATCAGGTGTCCATATACTGAATTACATAAAGAAGAACAAAAGAAAATTAAAACCATAAAGCAAATTCAGGCAATAAACCTACTGATTCCCAATTAAAGTGTTTGACATTTTTGTTGTTGTTATTGTTTACTAAGCTTATATAAAATATGCTTTTTCAAAGGAAACATAAAATGTGTGCCTTTTACAAGGTACACAGAGAAGATTCTGAGCATCCATTGTATTTTTTGAACAAACCAGGTGTTCTTCTATTCAATTTTCAAAATAAATAAATCAGAAATAAAATTCAGCCATTCTAAATTAAATTATCTGCAATTTAAGACCATTGAGCAAAGTTTAAATCATAAAAAAACATAAGCTGCCTTCACAGTTGCAGTTGAGTTTAGTATGTTCTAGGCACCACTGATATATTTTATCAAATCCTAGCTTTGGGCAAAACCTTCTGTTATAACGAAGGTGGAGGACTTGCTTCATCTGACATTATGCTCTGAGATGAGTACGTCCATAACTGAACAGACATTCTGGGAAGTGTAGTGTTGTTCTTCATGAAGAGCTACTTAACCAGAAGTAAAAAATCTGTGGTCTTAATAGTGTCATCCAGGAACCGCTTTTATCAGTTTTGTTTTTTCTGCCAATCACAAAAACTCCTGATCTGATCCATCAGTCTTAGAGGTGCTGTTCATTTCAGCTGCAGGAGGTGCTCTGGATTCCAAAGATGTTGCTTCCTGAACAAATGTTTTGCAGGTATCCTCTTTCTTCTCTGCTGGGAAACAACAGTGAAATCTTGGCATGGGGGTCGTTGCCATTTTTGCATCATGGCTGCTCAGCGTGGCACCAAAGTGACTGTCAAGTGCTTCAATGACTGCAGTGATGTTTGCTGTGTGGGTCACATGTGGCTGTGTGGGTCACATGTGGCAGTTTGTCAAAGAGCTTAGACTTGAGGCTTAAGATGGTTGGAATGAGGAACTCAAGATAGCACTTTTTCTCCCCCTGCAGACGATCAATGGATTGAGCAAGTGTTTGTAACACAGCTACATATTCCCTGAGAAAAGTCATGTTATGTATGTAGCCAAGTCCTCTTTAGATGTCACCCAGCTGATCTTGTGTAAGTCCAAACAGTTTGGAAACGGCCATATTTTTAAGAGCTCCATCTTGTGACACATTGAACTGAGACCCTCATGTTTACTTACTTATTGTACTTCTCTACACAGTCTTTTTGATGCTGCTTTATCCACTTCATTGAGCGTGCTGCACATCTTTGAGGAAGATTGAGGAAAAAATAAATCCTCCATCTCCAGAATTCGTATCCAGGAACCTTATCCCATCATCCAACTCCTGTGACACTGCCTCCTCAGTTATTTCAAATTCACAGAAAGCCTTAAGTATTCTTTATCTACCAATTCTTTCTCATAAGTACACTTTACTTGAGGATATCCCTAGTAAAAGTAAATAAATTGTGTGGAAATTGTACCTTTCTTTAAAGTACATGTCACTGTGGTAAATGATGTTACTACAGGGCTCACCCAACAGCAGCCAGAGACAAACCATTCGGGTTTAAACGTAGCTTCATGAGTAAGAACTTCAAACATCAACTGGCCAGCAGTTAATGTTTCTCATGTGTGTCTCTCCTCTGTAGCAGCTCTGCTGCTGCCTTTTGAATCCAGGGAGAGTTAATTGGCAACTAACCTCAGCTGTGCCAATCAACTCTCCCTGATTCATCTGGAGGTGCCCTGATGAGCCACCTCCACAGTGAATCCAGTTTGTTTTAGTGTTCCCTCTCATACTAATGTCATGCTAGTCACTTCTTCTCCTATACTGTAATGTCTCTATTGTCTCCCACACTTTCAGGATTCCTCCTGATCTAGGGCCTGAGCACGACCTGCCAATGCTAACATTAGCCTGCGGAGTGGCCCCTGGTGCTGGGGAAACTCCTCACAGACTCTGTGCAAGATGGCGCTGGTAGCGTGCACACGTTCAGTCTGGGTTTGCAGAGCGGCTCTGACTGACTCACTGGTGGACGAAGCTCTGTAGCGGCCCTGGCACACCCCCTGCAGCTTCTTGGTCCGGCTCTGTAGAGCCACCAGGTGAGCTAGGTTCTAGAGGGAGGAAAATGTAAAGAATGAGAGTGGATGTGATTCATGTTTTCACTTATGTTTTCAAACTGATGTCAGAAAGTGGAAAACAATGACTTGCTATATCTGGTATGCTTGCTAAGTGGGAGTGGTTCCAAGAGTGGAAACTGAAATGCTCTAGACAGTAAATCTACAGTTGTGTCTACCTGGCCTGGAAAATGCTTTAACAAGTATTCTCACCACACCTTCAACACATCAATAGCAACAATTAAAGGTAGTAGACAGAAGGAGCCTATTTCACCTCTGAAAAGAGACTTGATTGACACATGTCAGCTATAATACAGTAAGCTTAAAAAATAAGACTTTATAAGATTTCAATACAGTGAAGAGTCAGTTACACTCAACAGAAACTAGCGAAACAGCATTTTAAAGCTCTGTCACTGTATATACACATAGTAGCATGTACAGTACTTGCTCCTTACCCTTATTTTAGTGTCCTCGAGATTAACAAACTCGGGGTCCAGGGTGTAGCTGGTGCCACACAGTTCTATCAGCTGCTGCTTCTGCTTTGCAAGCTTGTCAGCCAGATCCCCCTGGCTCTCCTGTTGGTCCTTGATCATCTTCTCACACTCAGCCACATGCTGAAGAGATGAATGATTCATATAAGATAAGATAATGTACCTAACAGACATGAATGATCATGACATGTGTCCTACCTTGTGCACATCCTTGATCCGGCGCCGCAGGCCCTGTGCGATGCGGCTCAGATCGCCCTTTGTAGCCTGTTTCTGGGAGCTGTGGACCATGGCCTCCCTACGCTGAACAATAGTCTCCCTCCTCACCACTGTCGCTTCACTCTCCTTTAGCAACCGTTCTTGCTGCCTCATCAGTTGGTTGAGTCGCACCTAACACACAAGTATTAAATGAGAGTAAACAAACTCACATATCATAAATCAAATTCTATTGTTTGCTTTGTTTATTATTTATTGTGTGTGCTGTGTTTACCTCCATACGATGTATCTCAGCCTTCATCATCTGGATTTCTCCCTGGACCCCCTCAGAGTTCAAAGCTGAGCGAGTCTCTTTTACAAGCTGGATCTTCTTCTCCCACAGCATGATCTGCCACCTGCAGGTCACACACACACACAACACATGAACCCAACAAAGGATGCATGTAAAAATGCCTCCATACTGCTCCTGTGGTGTCATCCAGTCTAGCTGCAGACACTTGGAGGACACCATACGAGCAGTATAGAGGCATGTTATGTTTTTTCTGTTGTTTTATTACAGTATTATGGTTAATTAAGCCAAGGCAGCAACACTGTTTACCCCTGAAACTCCTTAAGTGTTTTGTGGACTCAAACACTTCACCCACCCCTCCATCAGCATAGTGGTGAGTAGATAATGAGTGAATTTTCATTTTTTGGTGAACTATTCCTTTAAAATGGTGTGAAAAATGTATCAGCTTCTGCTCGTGTCTGCCGATCCTCACACACAAACCGAAAATCATATTAATTGATTAATTGATGGTTTCAGATTGTGTATCAGGGTCGTTCTGGTCACTTTAATCTCAATGTCATGGCTGTGCACGTCTCGTGTTGTGTGTGGCATGGGAAAGTGCGTGTGCACAATGTTGGACTTTTTCCTCAATGTGTTTAAATGCATGTCTCATAAATTTTAGAACGAATCAAACAAGTAAGTCCAAGTACTGTACAGGTCTTAATAACTTCTGATTTGTTTTGATGCATAATGTTCAAGAGCAACGTGAGTACAGGTCAGTGGGGGAGTGTGGAGGCAGGACATTTAGTGTCTGCCCTAATGTTGAAGGCTTTGTTTGTTTTAAAATATTTCATAATTAAAAATAAAATATTCTAGATAATTGTCACACAGACACAGATCTTAACTCAACCCGAACATGCAAAAGATGGTATGTGACTCACTCAGCTTCCACCAGACTGTTGAGGAGTCTTTCTTTTTCATCCTGGGTCTTCTCATAAGTCATCTGGATCTCCACTGACTCCTGCTCTGCCTCCTAGACACACACACACATTATATTTCACGTTTATTAATATTTACTATGAAAAGTGCAGAGAATAAAAACAATCAAAGCTGAATTTATCAGCCATGCCATGCCTTAAGTCTGTTCAGAAAATCTGACTCCATCAGCACATTCTCCTGCTCCAGTGCCTGGCTGAGCTGTCCGTTCTTGCTGAGCATGGTGTTGAGCTTCAGCAGGTCTCCTCTCAGCATCTTGGTGTTCTTCTCCAGCTCTCTCTGCTCTTGGTGCTCTGCTTCAATCTGATCTGATGGTGGGGGAGAGGGCATCAGAGGAAGTGTACAGGTTGAGCATAGTTACACTATATATAGCATACTGCTATTTTAATATACTATGGTGAAATATATATATATTGAGTACATAACATTTGTATACCCTACCTGTCTGTATGCTTTTAACAGTCTATATATGTATGTCTGTGAAGACGTCTATTTCACTATCTCCTCGTACATAACAAGGGAATTTCCCCCAGCGTCGGATCAATAAAGTTATATCTTATCTTTTTTTAGAAGCTTAAGTAATGAAATACATGTACTCCGTTAAATAAAAGTTACATTCTCAGACATGTCATTTGCCATTTACAAGCTAAAAATCATTAGTAGTCTATAATTAACTTAGTGACTTTTACTCATTGACTTGGATGTTTCTACCTATTCACGCATGTGTGCTTGTTAAGAACATTACGTACTCTTGAAATGTATTTTCTTCTGCTGCATGACAGTGTGCTCTATCTGCAGTTTGAGCATGTTCTTGCTGTTGGCCTCTATTTCCTGCGTCAGTCCTACTAGCATCCCCTGACGTTTCATCCAGAGCTGCTGGTCATCCTTGATATTCGCTTCCAGCACCTCGATCTCAGCCTTCAATGCCTCTACCTTGATTTGCAGAGGACTTAGGTCTTCATGCTGGAAAAGAAAGCAAGCAAATCACAAAGATAACATGTAATTATGAGGCACAAAAGCAGAGCTGGTATTGTTTTCTCTGTCACCATGGCAGGTGTTCATGTCTTTTGTCTACGGACAGGTTTGGAGTCCAGTGATAGTGTTGCAACTGTTCAAAAAAGTCTAGATCAAAATGGAGGCCAAGTAAGAAGATGGGTGTGGTCTGACCCATGAGCACTRAGTTATGTAATAATTTAGTCATAACTTATCATTACTTATGAGCTGGAAAATCAGCATGTTGACAGGCATTGAACATGGTGTCATCACATCCCAAAATAATCTAGTTTTTACTATATACAGTATCTGACTCTTAAGATTGTTTCTAATGTACTTCAAAATTCAAATTATTATTCTCATTATTAAATAATCCACATAAACAACCGATAACCAGGGATTTCTTCTCCAGAATCTCTCACCCCAGTGTTGGCTGCGATTTGACTGATCTTTCTGTTGTAGGTGGCAACGGTGGCCTCCCTCTGTTCGATCAGTGTATTGAAGGAAGAAATCTTGGCCTGGTTGGACGTGAGAAACTTGTTGTTCTTTGCGATCTCCTCATTGAGGGCTTCCTGAGCGAGGGAGAGGCTCTTCAGATGCTGGCTGACCTCGTTGCTCTCCAGTCCCACCATCACCATCTCATTCTCCAGCTGCCACAGCTGAAAGATCTATAGGGGAGAGAGAGATATTAAGAGAGACAATATTTTGTTCTACACTTCCTCAATGAGTTTAGATACTTAAGTGTTTTGCCCCCCCCAAAAAACAAAAAATCACCCACTCAGTATTTTCTAGAAATAAATGCTACAGGATGCTTAAGTCCACTACGATCAGCTCAAATAAGCACTGCCCCTACGCCAATGTCACTTGAATCCATATAGAGGATAAAAGGTCTCAAGTTGGGAGCTATCAATCAAGGGCAGTAGCCAGGAGTGCTTTTGCTCTTTCAAACGTGTTTTGGCACTCTGGTGTCCACTGGAATGGGATCTTTGGGCTGCTTAAGTCTGTTAGGGGAATGACTACTTGTGCTAAATTGAGACAAAATGCCCTGTAATATCAAGCCATTCCCAGAAAATGTTTAAGTTTCCCGCGAGTGGTGATAACAGGGAGTTTTATATTAGCCTCTAACGTTGTGGATACTGGTAGCACCTTGCCCTGTCTAACCACTTTTCCCAGATATTTAACAGTGGCCTGAGCGATTTCATATTTTCCCAAGTTTAC